GGTCCCGCAACCCTCCCTGGGACTCTCGACCCTGCCGGCGGTGGACTCAATCCTTCCCGCTCCACCCCAGGGTGAACCGTTCGAGCCCCCCGCCCTCTGGTTCCTCTCCCCACCCAGTACCTACCCCTACATTCCTCTCCTGTTCCCCTCTCCCCCCTTGCTGGTCCCTCCAGCCTCTTTTATGCTCCCCTTGGGCGGTTCCCCCAACTTCCGGGTTCCCAGCAGCCATTTTGCTTGTCGCGCCAGTGACGTCAGCCGACATCATCACTGGGCGCTGCGACACGCCATCTTCCCCGCCCTCAGACCGACCGGCCGGAGCTTTCCCCGGCCCCTGCCCGCCTCGCGGCCAGACCGGAGGTGGGTTCTCCGGGGCTGCCACCGCAGTCCCGGCGGGTCTAATAGCCCCGGGTGGTCCTTCCGCCCGCGGCTGGTGGTGGGGTTGCTCCACCCCGTCACAGTTTCATTTTTAAATGGAGGGGACTGACAAATGGTACAGTTCGGTCATTTTTCAGACAGAGATGATTTATGTCCCGCCAGCGATGAGCATGAAATCTGTCAATAAATCCGAATGCCTGCCTCCTTCTGAGCAGCGTTGTAATGTTGAGGTGAAATTAGCTCCGTCAATAACAAGTAGGGAGGTTTACTTTCAGTTCAGAGGTTCCCAAACTGGTCTAGGGAGGCATGGGGAGTCCAGCTGGTCCTCTCAGCCCTGCCGACCCCCTAAATGTTGAGGCAATAGTGTGTGCTATTGAATTGCAGGGAGAAACAACAACCCATGAAGAAGTAACTCAGTAAATCCATGGCAGGGTCTCAAACTGGCAAGTGTCCTGCAAAGTTGACAACCGTATTTAAAGTAAAAACAAAACCCACACACGCAAAATATCTCCTTCCTTGTAATTCTTCCACTCTACTCTGCACTGATTAGGCCTCAGTTGGAGTATTCTGTCCAGCTGTGGACGCCACATTTCAAGAAAAATGTGGAGAAATTGGAGAAGGTTCACAGAAGATCAGCAAAAATGATTAAAGGTCTAGAAAGCCTATGAGAAAAGACTGAAAGAATTGGGTTGGTTTAGTTTAGAAAAGAGAAGACTGAGAGGGGACATGATAGCAGTTTTCAAGTAGCTATAAGAGTGTTACAAGGAGGAGGAAGAAAAATTGTTCTCCTGGACTTCTAATTACCATAAAATTTCGAGTATAATGTGCACCTATGTATAATACGCATCTGCCTTTTAAAGGTCAAAATTCTTGAATAAACTAAATACTTATCTATAATGCGCACCCCCATTGTACTCAAGATTTTAAGGTATGTATAGGAAGGAAGGGCCCCCTACCCAGCTAAACTTATGCACACTGAGCTCGCGCCTGCCGGGGGAGGGCCCTCCCCCCAGCTGCCAGTGCACCGAGCTCGCGCCTGCCGGGGGAGTGTCCCCCGCTCAGGTGACGCCGTGCCAAGCTCGTGCTTGCTGGGGGAGCCTCCCCTGCCCAGGTGTCCGTGCACTGAGCTTGTGCCTGCTGGCCCCCCCCCGCCCTAGCCCAGCCCAGCCCGTGCCTGCTCCCCCTTCCCCCCCAGCTCATGCCTGCCGAGGGTGAATTTAAAACTTTTTAAAAAAACCTCCTATGGATAATGCGCACCCCGACTTTGACGTTAAAAAAACGGGAAAAAAAGTGCACACTATACTTGCAACTTTACGATATAGGACAAGAAGCAACCGTCTTAAATTGCAGCAGGGGAGGTTTAGGTTGGACATTAGGCAAAACTTCCTAACTGACAGGGTGGTGAAGCACTGGAATAAATTGCCTAGGGAGGTCGTGCAATCTCCATCATTGGAGATATTTAAGAACAGGTTAGATAAACATCTATTAGGGATGCTCTAGATAGTGCTTGGTCCTGCCATGAGGGCAGGGGACTCGACTTGATGACCTCTTGAGGTCCCTTCCAGTTCTAGTGTTCTATGATTCCCTGTGAGATTCCTGTCCCATAGAACTCCTCCTGCCCCATCAGACTGGTTATCGACCCTGCCTGTGTTTGTTTTCTGCTCTCAGTGTCTTTGTGCCTGGATTGCTAATGTGTGTGTTATAGAGGGCTCAGTCCCTGGAGGGGAAAGAAAATGCAACCATCACCGAGGCCATGTCTTCAATAGATGGAAGACCAACACTGCTGTGATCAGTCTTCCGGAGTTTGATTTAGTGAGTCTGGTTAAGACTCACTAAATCGAACTCAAAGGGCACCCCCTTCAGCAGCCGTATTCCTGCTTATGCAAGGAGTAAGGAAAGCCAATGGGAGTATTTGCTCCCTTTGGCTCCCACTGTGGGGACAGCAGGGAAATGCAAAACAAGATATGTTGATTTCAGCCACCTAATTAACATAGCTGGATTTTCCTATCTTCATTCAAGTGTAGCCTGGGCCACGGTCCAGTCTTGCAAGGTACTGAGGATCTCCATCGCAATCAGCCATCTGCAGAATCGAGGCCTTGATGTGTAGTACTGTATCTCAGTCTGGGACCTGCCCAAGTGGCTCTCGTTAGACAGCTATTGAGTGCAAGGGGTAGCTGGAAAGATGGAGAGGAGAGAATGTATCACGGTGGCAGGTAAAATAGGATCATCCATGAAGAACTGACACAAACAGAGCAGAGCCACTGGAAAGAAAAATCCCTGCTGTGCAAGGCATTCACTCAAGGTCCCTGCCTCGCAAATTAATGGAACGCAAACGGTGTAGCCAGTGTGAACTTCTGAGTTAGCAGCATGCTGGACCTTCCAATTTTGTGGCGTTATTAACAGTTCTCAGCCTGTGTTGAGTTATTTATTTTCAAGTAAAAATCTCCATTGACATCAGGGAGAATTTCTGCTTATAAGTCGATGGCGAACTTCGCTGAAGTTCGCCATCGATTTATACACACACAAGGGTACTTCTGGGTGTTCTCAGTGGTCCGGACATTGGTAAGGGCATCTACTTTGCCAGCTCATATTCTGCACAGGTCAGTAGCAGCTGAAAGTTATTGCCGTCCAATGGCTGTTTGGTGTAATTGAAACTATTTTAAAAGCCTCAAAAATTCTCATTTGTCAGTGAAGTTATTTCCCACCAGCCCTTCTCAGGTACTCTTCCTGCTCCATGGCAACCAGTCCTCCGCCACCCTCAGTTCCTGGACTGAGAAGCAGTATTCCCCTGTAAGCTGTGCCCTTCTGCAGGTGCTCAGGAGAGAATAGACTGCCACCTTAATGCTTAGCACAGTGCCCACAGCTAGGTTTTTGTTTCTCCTGGTGGTGCACATTTCAACATGACTCGGTGTGCATACAGAAAATTATTCCGCACATAAATTGAAAATATTAGAGGGAGCAGATCTCTCAGATCCTGTCTCACCATGATGGTAAATATAAACTCTCAAGAGAACTTGCCAGGGGGAGGGGTAGTGCTCCATGAGATGATCTGTTTTTATAAAGTGACCCATAGAACAAAAAATTTGGAGAGTTATTGTTAGAAACCTCCCTGATGTGGAGAAATCATCACTAGAGGGAGATGATAGCTCTGTTTCCCAGCCTACCCAGTCTCTGCTCCTTCCCTTGATACTGCCAGTTGCTGTTGTAAGAGACAAGATGGGTGAGGGGAATAGCTTTAACTGAACCTATCTCTGTTGGTGGAAGGTACATGCTTTTGAGCACCACAGAGCTCCTCTTCCTTCCCCATCTCTCTAGGGCCGTGAGATCGCTATGGCTACAACGGTGCCAATTGCTGTGGTGACATCTGTCCTCTGGAAATGAAACAAAGGCCAACTGGTTCCCATCTCACTGGTGCTCCGACAGGGCTGGTCTTACCATGAGGCGAACTGAAGCGGCCTCCTCAGGTGCCGCACTGTGGGGGGGGGGGGTGCCACTAGGACCCAGAGTGTAGAAAATTGTGTCTGCTGCTGGTGCAGATGTGCATAAATGGGGGCGTCATTTGAGCGCCCCTCCTCAGGGAGCAAAATGTTGCGGGCCGGCCCTGTGCTCCGAGGGGCCATGTTGACCGAATGGTATAGACAGGCAGGCCAGGCTATCTCACTTTTCAGCAGATGACAGCAACTTTTGGTTACTACTAATGTGAGTGAGAACTGGAGCCGGTGGCCTCCAGCAAAATGGTCCCAGTGCTTTCAGTGGGCTTGGAACACACAGGAACACCACACTATAATATTTGATGCCCAGTAGAACATACTCCGATATATAAATATGTGACTAACCCCACCCCCTCATTTCTGGCTTCTTGCCCCACACATCTTTTATTTTCTCAGAGCGCATCTGCGGATTCCATTTTCAGACAGCTGTGATAATCTCCCACATGGTTCATTGCACGTAATGTTAGCATTGACATGAGGATGACAAGGATACATGCAGAAGCCCCTAGTCTAGCTAGTAATTTCTAAGGAATCCCTCTCTGTATTTTCTCCCTCTCGGTGGCTCAGTTTTGCCTTCTCTTTGCCCACCACACTGCAGTGTCACTGTAGAGTCTGAAAATCTGGCATCACAGTACAGTACTAAAAAAATATCTGCATAGAAGAAAAAAAATGTACATTTCTGAGGTTTATTACTCTGTCCTAGCAATATATATTGACTATAGCTTTTGAGCACTTTTAGAGTAAATGGCTGTTGAGACTGAAAAACCACCAAAAGGGATCTAAAGCTTTTAATCAATCTGAGCAACGATTTATTAATTTGTATGTTACGTATCAGCCAGCTTTATTCCTTAAACAACTTTAAGTAAAAATTGCAAAGGAAATAAGGAAAAATATGGGAACATGAAATTGCCTTGTAGTTACACATAATTGTATCTACTTTCTTCTAAAGTGTGAGTTCTACCTTATAAATTGATCGGTATAAAAGCATGTCTGACATTTATCACTCTTAAAGCCCTCTTGAAAATGTATAAGATGCAATTAATCATAAGCCATTAAACAGAAAACTAAAATGCAACATGTCAGGTAAAAAGATGGAATAGCTTCCACTCAGGAATATTTTACTAGTTTGCTTATTTTTGGCTTCTCTTTCAATGTATATATTTTCCCATATAATAAACACTTAACGGCCATTCTGTAGGTGCTGAAAAATCTTCATTAAACAACGTTCGCTGACTAGTCAAAAATTAAAATCAAAGTGCCTGCGCTCCAGTTAAATGGTCTCTGCAGATAATTTCAATTTTGGAAATGCCCATGGGGAAGGAGCCATTTTCCAACTAGTTTTAGTTTCAGATAAAATCACATCAAAAGTGTTTTTCCTTCTGATTGACTAGTTAATGGCCCATTCATCGTTAAACCACAAGCTCTCAAATCTAGCTAATCAGAAAAGCACTCCAGTAAATAACGGATTATCCAGAGTTAATTGGGATTCATTTTAATTGTATTAGTCATTTTAGGCTGTAATAGGCAGAGACAAAAATGTATCCCTGTGTGCTCTATCACCCTGTTTTTGTTGTTTGAAGGCCAAGGGAAATCTACTGAGAAAATATTAACCTTTTTTGTTGTAACCGATTGGCGTGTGTTTGAATGTGAGCATGTGCCCCACTAATCTTCGCTGCTTGATGGAATATAAGGATTCTACTTGTCAAATTCATTCCAGGGAAATTATCCTAAGCAGTTAGGACTTGATTCAAATCCCACTGAAGACCAGAAGTATCTTTTCAATGACCCCTTTCAATCAAGCCCCTCGTCAGTATTTTTGGGTCATGGGGATTTTGGATGATTGCACAGAACCTAGGAATAAAATAAGAGTGGATATTTTGTAGCAAGACAACATAAAGCTGAATTTTAATAGACTTTATAGCCCAGATCCTGCACTACTCAAACTAATGAGAGGATTGTTGTTGTTGTTGTTCTTTTGCAGACTGACTTAGCTTGGATGCACATTATGTGAAATCCAGAAAATCTGTTTGTCTTCAACCTACATCTTCACTACTTCACCAGATTAAAAGTGCAACAAACCCCAAACTTTTTATCTGAACTCCCACACACATCAGGTTTAAATGGGACTTGGCGCTGACCTACCCCAAAGTTTGATTTTGCAAAATCAAAATGAAACCAGCATGTTTTTGCAAAGCCCAATACCTTGATTTGCCCATTCTAGTGATGGAACAAAGCAAAATCCATTTATCGCACTGGTCACATCCTAAAGCTGAACTTTTCTTAGCTGGGGTCAGAAACAACCTGAATTCAAGCTACCCTTGGTTTAAGGTGGATACTAGCAACATGCAAACCAAACTGGCGATACTTTGTAAAAGCAAAGCATTGCTCATGCATTCAATTAAAAAAATTGTTGCCCACACATACAAGATCCATGTTCACTATAAACATGCCTGAAATCACTAAGACCCTCCATTCCAAGGACAGTTGAACTCAGTGAATGTCCTTTTGATATCACCAATAGGTGGCGCTGTGGAGCGGGATAGTTTACAATAGAATTGCATGCAGAATTAGTAGTGCCGCCAGTCGGACTCCATAATGTTTCAGAGGAAATCACGTTGTTGCTTTCCCTCTTTTCCCCCAACCAGCTGAGAGGAGAGAAATCTTTGGAAGCAGATGAAATGGCTGTGTCTATTCAGAGACCCTCCAGAAAATCAGTCACCAAGATGCTGTGTACGTAATTGGTTCTTTTTTCAGATGTATTATTTAACATGGGCAAGAAGGTGCAGAAAAGGAAGGTGCAGAAAAAAATCTAGAGAAGTTGAAATCTAGGTTTAATTCACAGGTGGGATATATCTGATGAGCAATTCAAGTTAACAACAAACAACCCTTTCCCTAATTATGCCCATTGGATATCTCTGATCCAGAAAGGTGAAGATTGGGACTTAGACTCATAGACTCATAGACTTTAAGGTCAGAAGGGACCATTATGATCATCCAGTCTGACCCCCCGCACAATGCAGGCCACAGAATCTCACCCACCCCTCCCAGAATAATCCTCTCACCTATATATCAGATATTGAAGATTTACCGCTGTTCATTGGGATGTATGTCTGGGGTTCCATGCCTGGATGAGTAGGGAGCTTTTCCCATTAATGTTAAGATGGATTAGCAGCCATGTCTTTAAAAAACGTACATGCCAGCTCCTTATGCTATATTCATCTCTAATCTGTGCTATCAGCCAAGAGTGGCCAATCCTTCATTGTTGCGATGAGTGCTAAAATTCACTCTTTACCCCCACTTCAAACAACTGCACCTATATGTTGCCTATAGATAATCTTCCACTGACCCCTTCAGATGCTGGTTGGTATAGATTTCAAAATAAGCGGCCTGTTGTTTTGAAAGTACGGGTTTGGTAGGCTACGTCTACACACAGTGCTATTTTGGGATACTGGAGGTATTCTGAAATAGCTATCCCACGTCTTAACAATGTCTTTTGCACAAACATCACGTTCCCTAGCATCTGTACCCTTTCCAAAGACTGCCCGGACAATCTACATTCATCATTTTTACTTATCCCCACTTATCAGGGCCTTCGATGGCTCCTTGATTTTTACTTATCCCCACTTATCAGGGCCCTCGATGGCTCGTGGCAAGATACGGAGCCCCCCCGCAAGCCCACCATTTGCGTATCTGTGCTACAACAGCCTTGAAAACACAAACATAGGGGCTGTCTTGAAAATATACACAGCCACCCACCACGACCAGCCAGGCCCTGCAATTGGAACAGGAACTATCCAAGAAACCAAAGCCACTCAACACATTTCAGGAAATAGTGTCTCCATGGAAGAGAACTTTGAGACAACTTTAACTTCTGTGTATTCTGAATACGGCCGGCATTTCTTTCCGATCCTGCGCAACACCAGTTAGTCTGGGAAAACAGACTCAATTGACTGTGTGATAGAGCCGGTGGGGAGGGGATCTGAAAGGATCTCACCCAGTGTGAAAATCGTAGGATGTGCAGGTCTGCCTCACCACCCTGCAAGTTACAAGCAGTACTCCCTGGAAATTAGTCCGGAGCCAGGAGCTTGGCTTTTCCAGTGAGAGAAGCTGACCGCTCCAGAGGCCACCAAGTTCAAAACTCCACTGATAGCATGAATTCTGCTGGTTCTGCCAAAGTTTGCTTAGGGTGAAGTGCCGTAGAAGCTAAATCACCAGCTCCCCTAGAAACTCACCGGGGTATTTAAAACAATGAGGAATATGGGTTCTTTCGAAAAAGCAATCGGAAGCAAATATGCAAATGAAGCACGGGATATTTAAATCTCCGCTTCATTGGCGCTTTCGATCGGGCTCATTTACATTCCTTTTTTGACAGAGGAATGTAGTCTAGACGAGTCCTCAGTGTTTGCTCAAAATGCAAACCAGCGAGAAATGGTGGGGGAGGGGCGGATTTCTAATTCAGTTTGCAGTTTGTTTGGCAGACAGTGGAGGGAAACGCAAAGCTGATAACGAACCAGGTTACAAAATAAGGGCGCTGTGGGTTCCCACGGGATAAATGCTTGTAACCACCTCAGACTTTTCATCCAGCTTATGTACCACTGAGACCATGTCTACACTAGGAAACTATTTCCAAATAACTAAAACTGAATTAATAACTCCCGAAATAACCAAAATGAAATAGCGTGTCCTCACTATGTAGAAGCCTTGAAATTAGTCCAAGGCAGGATCCATTATTGTGGACCCACTACCTCAATTTAGAGCCCCAGGACACACAGTTTGAATTACTCTGGGGAGTAGTTATTTTGCAATAGCGGCACGGGATCATCCAAACTACACCTATTTCGAAATAACTATTTCATAATTATCATTATTCCTCAGGAAAACAGGACTACAGATTTTGAAATATGCAGCCCGTTACTTCAAAATAACGGGCTTCGACACTCCACTTATTAATTCAATCAAAGAGGAGTTATTTCGAAATAAGCTTGTAGTGTAGATCAGGGTTGACAAGTGGAATTGAACCAAGGACCTGTGGAACTTAGCATAAGCTAAGGCTGTAGAGCAGACTCATTATTCACTCTGTAAGAGGTCTTGGAGCCAACAGGGTACCATACCCAGCAGGCGTGTGGGTTACACTTACTGAACCTGACTCAATCAATGCAAGGTACAGTAAAACTCCAATAGTCCGGCATCCAATAGTCCGGCACTTCTAATAGTCTGGCATTAAAATGGCAAGAGCCTAGTGAGTGAGCTTCAGCAAAAAATGAGTCACAAGGTAACAGCGGCAGCAGCTGAACTGAGCAAAAAGGGTAAAAAGGCTTTAAAAAAACTAAAACATTACAGTATACTGTATACGGTATGTACAATAAAAAGGGTTAAGAATGCTTTATATACAGTATATAATATATATATATATATATATCACTATTTTATATAGTACCTCCTGATAGTCCGGCATATCTGATAATCCGGCACCACCTAGGTCCCATAGGTTCCGGATTATCGGAAGTCTACTGTAACAGGACATATATACTTGTGTAATGCTCTTCCTCTTCTCCTTCCCACAAATCAGTCGTTCTGGTGATGGTATTCGCCATATGCTGGGCCCCCTTTCACATTGATCGACTCTTCTTCAGCTTTGTCGTGGAGTGGACTGAACCACTGGCTAATGTGTTCAACCTCATCCACGTTGTGTCAGGTAAAGGTCTTTATTAGGGCTTGGGAAGCAGTATCGCTGGGGAAAATAATATTTTCAAATGGGGAGAGAAGGCTTTCAAGGCAACTAGAGAGTAAATTATTTATAAGCGTATTGATGTTCCAATGTTAGTCCTTGGTTATTAGAGAGAGAAGGTGGGTGAAGTAATATATTTTACTGGATTGTGAAAGAGATAAATCTTCCAGATTTGTTTTTTTTCCCTTTAGACCTAAAGAGGAGCTCTATGATCAAAAGCTTGTTTCTTTCACCAACAGAAACCGATCCAATAAAATATATTATCCCACTCACCTTGTCTCTCGAATAGCCTGGGATCCAAATGGCTAGAACTCCATCAGGGCTGCCAATGGTGGAGGGATAGGGGCAGGGCTCCAGCGTGCCACTGCTGCTACCATGGCAATAGTGATGGCTGCAACCCGAGCGCCTTTAAATCACTGCTGGAGCCACATGCGGGGCTGTCCAGCTGGTGCTGAGGGCTGGCTCTGCAAACATTCCTCAATTACATTATTCTGAGTTCTTTCCAGTCCCTCTGTTAAATAGATTATTACACTTGATTATGTTTGGGCACTCAAGCAGATGCTAGGTGGCTCACAGAAAAAAGGCCAGACTCCGTCTTTGTCTCCCCAGCCCCCGCTGGAAAAAAAAAGGCCTATCATAAAAAGTCAGACATGATGCAATGTGTGGGGATAACAGACACATAACACTGGGGAAGGGAACAGGAAGGACAAACGCATGGTTGTTTTCTTGAAGCAAATCTGCATCCAGATGCTTCTATGAAATATGTTTTTTCTCGCATTAAAGGTACTGAATTAGTCCGCTTTATGTAGCCAGTGTAGAAAAGGAGAGATGAATATAATGGCCCATATTAGGCTGTCAATTAATTGGTGTAAAATTGGAATAATGCGATTTATGCTGGGATAGTGGAGCAGAATTTGGACCCCTATATTACAAGATATCATAGAGCCGTGTGCCTTGTCAGCTGGGCACTTGGGCAGGCCAGGCAGAAGATATTCCAATGCGGCCCAGCTGATCAGCAGAGTGCCTACTGCTAGGTTTTTTGTTCTACTGGTAGTGCACATCCATACTTCCTGGGTGCACATAAAAAAATTATTCTGCACGTAGGTGGAAAAATCCACACATGAAAGATTAGAGGGAACATTGTCATAGAGTCATGGAATTTAAGATCATAAGGGCCCACCAGATCATCCAGTCTGGCCTCCCGTGCAGCACAGGCCACCAACATGAGCCAGCACCCCCACACTAAATCCCACAACTACAATGAAAGCAATGTATTACAGCTCACCAGAGGCTAGGCTATTACATGCCATGGGAAGGACCATAGTGGACCAGTGTCCAAGGCCTGTGCAATAACAGGGAAATGATTAAGTGAGAGAGATCCAAACATTCCCGGCCAATGACAACCACCCTCATGCTGCAGAAGAAGGCAAAAGAACTCCGCACCTATGAAGAACTAGATACATTCATGGAGGTTAGGCCTATCTATACTTATTAGCAGGGTTCAACAAATAATGTAATATACTGGCCTGTGGCGAGTAGATTACAACCTGGAAGAGCTGGCGCAGAGCGATCTGTGCATGTGCAGAGCGCAGCACCGCGTGGCTGGCGAGCGGGGCTCACCACCACTTGGCGAGCCCTGCTTATTAGCCAGGGTGGGTAGGGATGTTGTCCCAGGCTCTGTTTGTCAGACGCTGGGAATGGGCGACGGGATGGATCACGGGATGAATTCCCTGTTCTCTTCCCTCTGGGGCACCTGGCATTGGCCACTGTCAGCAGACAGGACACTGGGGGAGATGGACCTTTCGTCTGACCCTGTCTGGCCGGTCTTATGTTCGCCCTCCCAGGCCACTGCCAATCTGAGCTGAGGGGAAATTCTTCCCAGCTCCACTGATTCCGTGAGTAAGAATCAGCCGGCCAATTTCCTGAGGGGGAGGGAATGCTCAGTGCTAACTCAGGGCTCTGGCCTTCTCCCTCCAATGTGTCATCTTCAGCCAGGGCCAGCCTAGTGCTTCAGTGGAAGTAGATAAAACCCCTCCCAGGCAGGTGGGTCGAAAGCCACTGTGGGCCCTGAGGCTAGCTATGGGGTGGGGGGCAGCTCTGCACCTCATGTGGAAGGGGCAGGGCTGAGGGCAGCCAGCCCTTAGCGCCGTCCAGACCACAGTGCACCCCTCCCCCAATCTTCAGAGCCATTTGGAGTGGCGTTCCAGGCCCCTTTGAATCTCTGGGTCTGAGGCAATTGCTCCCTTTACCCCACTCCCTCACTTCCTGCTAGTGGGTTTGCTCCCAGAATACATTGGTGGAATACAATATCAGTACAATCAGACCCAAATGCTTGATTTTGCCCATATGTTGTTTCTCAGAAAGATTTAGGGCGACATTTCCTAAGGGTGAGGAAGGGTTGTACCATAGGGCTCACAAAGAGCAGCGGCATGATCCAACAGTATATCTGCAGAAGACCATGCTGTCCTCTGGGATTTACACTAGTGAAATAGAAGGCAGAATCTGGCTCCATCCATGGTTTGTTGCCTAGTGATCTTCTCATTGAAAGAGACTTCTTAAAAGTAGGTGCTGTCAATGGGCCAAATCATCCTGACCCTGTGTGCCAAGTGGTACTCCACTAACACACCCAAGTTACACCTTCACCAAGAGGGTACTCCACTAACACACCCAAGTTACACCTTCAGCAAGAGGGTACTCCACTAAAACACCCAAGTTACACCTTCACCAAGAGGGTACGCCACGAACACACCCAAGTTACACCTTCACCAAGAGGGTACTCCACTAACACGCCCAAGTTACACCTTCACCAAGAGGCATAGTGTGTACAGCATTGGAAAACAGAGTGGAACATACTGGGAGACTGGAGCTGAAGAACATATGAGTGTGACATGATCCACTTAGCTCTGCATCTGCCAGCATCGCAGCAGAGGGACAACACAAGACAAACTGCAGCCATCAAATATCCTCCCTGACAGTCATTCGTTTCCAGAGTGTGCAGTGCAAAACAATACAGCACAATCCACCTCCCCTGGGAGCCGGGCTCCTTCCTAAATTTCAGCGCAGCATTTATTGCAAAGTGTCTCGAGGCCTCGCTGGGGATTATGCTTCCTCTAAAATTCCCGAAACATCCAGGATGCTGCTGGTGGTGTGAATACTCACCACTAGTGAGAACCAAGATGCCACAAATCAGGGTGAGCCGAAGTCAGTATTTTGACTTCATTAACATATTCGCCAACCAATGCTGTTGCTGCTCCACCAGCTCCAATGTCTACATAGGCACAAACACGTTCTCCTGGAGGATTTTTCAGTGAAGCCATGAATCTGATCAAAAGGCCACACTTCATATTCCCTCCCACACCTGAGGATGATGATTAAAGATTTATATGGCTGCCAACAATAACAGGAAAAGAACTAGTTTCTTCCAGGGAGGAATTATCTTAGCCTGCCACGGGAAAATGTGGATTGTGGTTCCAAAGTGGTAGTTAGATGAGCAACATACATTCAGCATTGATGTAGGTATTTCAAGAGACTTCTTTCATTGTTCAGACTTTCCTTACTCTGTTCTTCTGATTTTTTCCAGCACCTTTGAAGTCATGTACCTCATGGCTACGTTAAGAAGCAGAGACTCTCTTTTCTGAGCATACTCCATCTGCTAATTAGCCATCTCTCACATTTTGTTTTTCTCTTGTAGGCGTTTTCTTCTATCTGAGCTCCGCTGTGAATCCCATCATTTACAACCTGCTTTCCCGTCGCTTCAGAACGGCTTTCCTCAACGTGATCTCTCCTCCGTGCGGGCGCTGGTGCACCAAACAGCCTACCAGTGAGATTCCAGCCCAGCGGAGCATCTTCCTGGTGGGGGACCACGCTCTAAGGAACTGTGCTGAGGAAGCAAGCTCGCTGTGCATGCGCAGAACGTCTGTCTGTAGCTCTCAGCTTTCTACTGGCCTATGACTTTATTTTGTGCTGTGAATGGGACAAAAGTCAAGGAAAATAACTTTTTTTCTTTTAAAAAACATAGGCAGGGTTTGGGGGTGCAATCCACCCCACTAAGAGGTTGGGTCACTTCTTTCCCGGTAATTCTGGGAACCTCATTCTGCTTTGTGGCTGTAGCTCCCAAGTAAGGCTACTCGCAACCAGCCTTTACCAGCATGCAAGTTGCCTCTTACGTGCTAGAGACAGCCCTGGGTCAGCATTTCTGATCCTGGTAGCCTGTCTACAACCTCATGCTGGCTTCCACCAGCCTGGGTTCCAAACAGCAAGATGACCCCAGCATGCTACCTATCCTGAATTTTACCAAAGCCATGATCTGCAATGTCCAGCCTTCCCCTGGAGAGTTTGGAGACATAATGGGCTCGTCTACATTGGCCCCTTTTCTGGAAGGGGCATGGTAATTTTTGAAATCACAATAGGGAAATGCGCGGGGGATTTAAATATCCCCCGCGGCATTTAAATAAAAATGTCCGCCGCTTTTTTCCGGCTTTTAGAAAAGCCGGAAAAGAGCGTCTACACTGGCCCCGATCCTCTGGAAAAAGCGCCCTTTTCCGGAGGATCTTATTCCTACTTTGAAGTAGGCCAAACACTTTGAAGTAGGAATAAGATCCTCCGGAAAAGGGCGCTTTTTCCAGAGGATCGGGGCCAGTGTAGACGCTCTTTTCCGGCTTTTCTAAAGGCCGGAAAAAAGCGGCGGACATTTTTATTTAAATGCCGCGGGGGATATTTAAATCCCCCGCGCATTTCCCTATTGTGATTTCAAAAATTACCATGCCCCTTCCAGAAAAGGGGCCAATGTAGACGTAGCCAATGAGTTTCATTTCTCCTTTAAGAGACAAAATGCATGTTACAACTTATTAATGTAATTAGTTGTAAATGCACCATTCTCTTCAAACACAGAGGTGAGTTGGCTGATCGTAAAAATAAAACAAATTTATTAACAATAGGACATAGGTTAAGTGATGCCAAGTAAAAGGTTAAAGGTAAAGATGGTTACAAGCAAGTAAAAGTGAAAACACTAGTCTAAAAATCTAAAACTTAATCTAGCTACATACAGGCTTTGTTCAAGGTGGTTTCTCTCATGAGTTATTCTTCTTCCCAGTTCAGGCTGACTTCCCCTCCATCAGGACCTTCCACTGAAATACAAAAGGCTGGTTCCGTTGTCTTCCTAGTTGAAAGAACTTTGCTTAAGCAGGTTTCTTACCTGTTTCCAGAGACTTCTTTCTCAGCTCTCAAGAGCTCTGTGTCCTTGTGTCTGCTGGTGGTGGATGTGAAAGATGGCTTTTGTCTATATGTACCTATATGCCTAAGAGCAATGACTTTATGTCAAGAGGCAGGATGACTGCACGCTGTTCTTCCCATCCTGACTTTTCATCCCCCTTATGCAAATGGGGCTTTGATTGTTTTGACTACACCATGTTTAATTTGCATAGGAGACAGGTGGACAGCTGCCATTTCTCCTGTCTGGGAGGGAACCTGTTTCATCTTGTTTGGCCTTTCAAGCATAATATCAGTAATTAACGATATTTTCTCATGTGTTAATACAAACAAATCCACCATCTGGGTGCCACTGGCTTTCAGAAAAAGACTCATTCTATACACTTTTATAAGACGGTAATATTGTACACAATTTGTTGATTCAATTGCTTATCACTTGAGGTTCAGTGCCACTTATTTATAGACCAGTAAACCTTTCCAATGGATTTGGGTCACCTAACAAAAATATATTCAAAAGCATATTCAAGCTTTGAGAAAGAGAATAGTGCTTCTTTTGCCACCAAACTTTAATTTGCCTGTCTTCCCTTACTGGTGTTTGCTGAATCCTGTATCATTCCGTATCCTGCAATCTTTCCCCACTCCCCAGCTCATGTTAATTTGATGGCCCTGTTTGCTTCTTTGATCAGCCTGGTCATCAGAGAGAGACAATGAAGGTACATTGACATATAAGCAGCAAACACATTCCTTTGTCCAGCTCCCTTGGTTTAAACACATTTTAGATATAACTGGGGCTTGATATAGATTGACATGATTTTCCGGAAATGCTTTTAACGGAAAAGTTTTCCGTTAAAAGCGTTTTCGGAAAAGAATGTCTAGATTGACATGGATGCTTTTCCGCAAAAGCACTTTTTGCGGAAAAGCGTCCGTGCCAATCTAGATGCGCTTTTCCGCAAAAAAGCCCCGATCGCCATTTTCGCGATCAGGGCTTTTTTGCGCAAAACAAATCTGAGCTGTCTACACTGGCCCTTTTGCGCAAACGGGAGCAGCATAGTATTTCCGGAAGAAGCACTGATTTCTTCCATGAGATCGTCAGTGTTCTTGTGGATATTCAAGCGGCCAGTGTAGACAGCTGGCAAGTTTTTCCACAAAAGCAGCTGCTTTTGTGAAAAAACTTGCCAGTCTAGACACAGCCCCAGTGTATAGCCGTAACTCTTCATACACACTGCGTACATACATCATGCAAGAAGATTAATGATCAGTGAGAGATTAGTTTCCCAACGACATATTACATGATACCTTTTAGATACAGATGATAATCAGAGAAGATACATTGACTTGATCAGGCCAGCTGAAATCCATTACCTGAAGTCACTAACCCCCTTGCCTCTTGCACTGAGATGCCCATAGAGTCACAAACACCCCTTACAAAGCTACAGGAAGGTTTGACCTACTTCATCTCAGTTAGTGGCTTAGCCCACTTTCCTGGACAGAGCATCTGCTACCATATAGAAAAAACCTATTTTGCCCCCCTTGTCCATTTACAGTCTCTGGGTCCAAGTATCAGCAAGTATCCATATTTTCCCCTACTGAGTCGTTACAAACATTTCATGGTGACAGAAATGACCAATGTGGTGTTAGATTCCATATAATATATCAGATGGCACCTTTTAAATATATAGCATGACACCAGTGTCTGCGATGTAATGAGCATGCCAGGCCCACCGGGAATTCCAGTCAGAAAAGCAGAAAACCACAAATATAATGGTCACACCGGGTCAGCAGAAACTTCAGTGAGACGGGCAGTGTCCTGATAGGTGATTGACAATCATTGTCTCTGCCAATGAGGAAGGAGGAGGAGTGTAACTCATTGACTGTGAACTCTTGGGGTGTGTCTAGACTACATGCCTCCTTCGACGGAGGCATGTAGATTAGCCAGATCGGGAGAGGTGGTGACCAGGGTGACTGTATTGAGCACCTCGTTGATGCTGGTCAGGGTGGTGCTGAGGAAGCACTGACTCTCAATGGGGGAAGATGCTGAGTATGGTTGAGCATAGAGTTGTGGCCAGTGCCAACGGTGCTGAGGGTGGAATCAGAGTCAGTGCCCACGGTGGAGGCATCTCAGTGCAGGTTTCTGGGGTGCCATATTCAACACCGACTTATGATTTATTGTTGATGTGGTGGAAGGCGGTGCGGGGCGGGCCCCAGCCATTTAAATTTAAATGAAGCCGCGATTATTTTAATCGCGGCTTCATTTCCCTCTTCCGATCTGGCTAATCTACATGCCTCCGTCGAAGGAGGCATGTAGTCTAGACACACCCTTGCAGTAATGTTTTATTAGGATGTGTCTTCCCAGTCCATTTCTATTTTAATCCAAGGTATCGTTATGGTTCTTGCTCACCATGATGAATGCAATTACGGATGGAGGTAGCATTGGAATGGCAACTGCAGTGTTAATTTCATATCCTGCCTGCGGTCTATTTTACATTCACAGTCCCACTGGAGTTGGGAAGGACTAGCCAGTGCTGATCCAACTCAATGGTTTTTATGAAAAATGGGTTATTTTATGTAATAGACATGTTTATGCACAACGTCCATATATGTTCTAAATGTTCACGTTGAAAAGTTGTGGGTGTTGACAATTGAAATGAACACATTTGGTTTGAGAATTTTTGACAAAACCTAGGGAAAAATCAATAAACATGGTTCCATAAAAACAAAAAAAAATAATTTTCATTGTATTTATTTTGTATTTTGACTGAATGTTGGCTCTTTTTAGCTATTTGGTGTTTCAGACATTTTAACAGTGAACTGCAAGTGTCATTAAACCATTAGCTACACTTTTATTTTCTTAAGACAAAACAGCACACTATGAAAAGAGGACATGCATGTCTCCATACGGAGAAGAACATTCTCTCAGCTTGTTCACCTTATACAGAACGTTTAGATCTCCGTTTCTGATAGTACTATTTATAGAATGATCTGAAATTTTAAAGTAACCTCCAGTTTGTGCCAGCTTTGTCCTTGGTACCACGCTATACTTTCCCATATCTTATTTTGAATACATTGCAAGTGGGGATGAGCCATAAAAGTATTCCCTAAATGGATTTGGTACACTCTCTAGTTTGGCACTCTCTGGTCCAGCAACATCCATGGTCCAGCATGATTATAGTTAGCTGGAAGTCCACTTATGAAGGGTGTGGCCAAGTTTCCCGCTGTCTAATAAAGATTGTTTACAGCCACCAGTCCTGGGTCTGGCCCACAAAAGTTCATCACCTATTAAACCATCTTGTTAGTCTTTAAAGTGCTACATAGTTTGTCCTTTTGTTTTAGCAAGATCAGACTAACACGGCTACATCTCTAGTGCTCTGTGATGTTATTTAGTTCTAATTAACCACTAAATGTCTTCTAAAAGCCCAGCAAGCAGTGGAAGAGAGGCAGAGGATTGGGTACCTACTGGTGCAGCTCCCTGGGGGAGCACAGGTAACTCCATGCCACCCTACCCTTTCAGGCGCTGCCCCCTGCTGCTCCCATTGGCTGCGAGTCCTGGCCTGTGGAGCAGCCGGCTTTGCAGGGTCTTTAGCACCCGACTGCTTTCCCAACGTCCCCTGCACTCCTGCTGCAGGGGGTGCAGCCCCAAGCTTTGTTGATTTGGCCCATGGGCCACCGGTTCCCCATCCCTGCTTTAAGTGAAGAAATGGCCTTGAGTGACTCCAAATATTGACGCTTCTAACCTTGCTTGTGCA